CACATTTTGACCCGCGGCTTCGCCCGATTTTCCCCACGGTTTCATGATCCTATTTTTTGAGGATCACGAAACCACGGGGGAAATCGGGCAAAGCCGCGGGTCAAAACGTGGCTGCGCAGCTTCCAGTGGGAAATTGAACAATAGAAGCGGGGCAAAGGGAGGCACGACCACGGCGCAGCTCTTGTGTGCAATTGGTCTCACTGTTTTCCTCTGGAAGGAAACGGGCCAGTTATTTACTATTCCTTGAGTACAAATCAGTACTTTGTTTGAAAAGCTTTTTTAATCCAGAACAGGTGCTCACCTCCTCGCAATTCACCATCCACAAGACTGTTTTTTGCTTTCAAATGGAAGCACTTTATTCAGTAGAATTCTGTTGCCAGAAACAAATGGAACAAAACACCAGAACCTTTTTAAAACACTTTTCGGGCAATGAAACCCACACAAACACATTAAGATGCCACCAAGACCTAGATGAAGGAATTCAGTGTAGAAACACCCACAAATCAATGCGTTTTTTTAAAAAAAGTGCTTGACATATGTTAAAATATAATTTGGCTTATTCTTTTAAATCTTTTTGACACTTCAAGCATGAAAGGAGGAGTGGAATCAATATGCAGAACAACCTTTGAAAAATATTTAGCATTAAAACACAACTTTCAGTAAATATGTTTTTTTTTCCTTTTGTATATTTACAGATGTTAAGAAAAGGGAGTCAGACAGGGGAGGGGGGGAGGGTGACACAGGGGAGAGGGTCACAAGTGTTTCCCCTTCAGAAGGACTCCCCTTCAGCAGTACTGTGATAGTCAAGAAGAGTTTTTAGAAACTGGTTCCAGAGGCCATCTAAAGTTAACATTTTTGCCATCCGAGGCAAGCTCTGCGTGTGCGCTCCTAAGCACATACTCTACCCGTGTGTGTTCTCTGAACTTCTAGTGGAAGGGCTTTTCCTGTATTGTGGAACTGCTCCATCCGCAGGAGGCGCCGTGCACGCTGGAGTGTCCAGGGTCAACTGCTGAACTGGTGCGAGTGAGGTCTAAGGCATGGTCCTTCGCAATCATTTTGTTGCGCCCAAAATGCATAAGCCACCACCCACCCCCTTTGGCAGCTTGCAAGTCTGGTAGCCTCATGGCTGGGAGTGCTGCTGGGCAGGCAGCGCTGTGTCCAGGAGGACTTTGGGGTGAAGACAGAGACAAGATTCTTAGAGCAGCCAGAGCTGGATCATCTCCCTTGTTCTGAGCCCAACTTGGCAATTTGCACTACAGGCATTCATTCCAGCCACATATTGGATCATGCATCTCTCTCTTGCCCTTCCCTTTGTGCACTGAGTGTGCGGGCAGCTCTTAAAAGAAAACATTTGAAGTATATCCCTCGTTAAATTCTCCCCAATTAAAATATTTTTTAAAAATGTGGCTAAGCAAGTGGTGGTGGTGGTGCTCTCGGCAGTAGCCAGTCACTGCCCTCCTGCACAGCTGCCATTCTGCTGCTTCAGACTGGACTGCACTGGGGGGGGGGGGATTTTCTGAGCTCAGCACAAGAAAAATATTTGGTAAGGGACCTTTTGGGAAACATGCAAAACAATGTGCATGTTTCCTGAAGGCTCATGGGAATGCTTTTGAAAGACTCACTTTGGCCCAGGGGGTCTGCAGCAGGGGGATGACTGGAGAAGCGCTGGAGGTGCCACCCTTGAGTGCCCTTCTCGGCTTTCTTGCCCCGCAGATGGGGACTCCTTCTGAAGGCCACCAAATGCCCTCTGAGCTGTTTTCCCCCCTGGGAACTGAGGTGTACCCTGTCCCTTGAAAGGAAGGGCCAGAAACAGGCTCGGAGCCTCCCCCTTTGAAGACAGGCGTTCACATTAATTTAATTAACTGTAATTTAACTGCCCTCTTAAAATTTAAGTCCCCCCCCCCGCGAACAAAAAAAAGATCCTCGTCTTTGAAACGCTAGTTATTTTCACATACCTCCTTCCCCCCGTTAGCCTTAAAGCCCGTGCCCTTCAGTATTCACTTAAAAGGTGCCCTTAGCAGAAGGGAGACATTTTATTTAACTTTAGATGGTGGTAGAAACAATTTAAAAAAAAAACCCAGCGTCCCCAACAAGTTTGTAAAGGAGCAAACGTCCACTACAGAGGCCTCAGTTTGTAAAAACTCCTAGGACTATCTCTTCCCAGATGGGCCAGACAGACCTTGCAGTCATTCAGACGTTCCTGGTCGGGTGACAATAATATACTGTCCACCCAGATTAAATATCTATATATGTATATTAAAAAGCGGACTTTTCTCTTTTACATCAATGGCACCAAGACCAAAAATAAAAGAGGAGGGGAGAAAATGCAGGCTGCTCCCTGTTCCAACAGCCACTTCAGACAGTAGAAAGGTCGCCACTGAAACGTGTAGGTGTCCCCTTGCATCTGTTGGGTTTCTAAAACACACCTGGCTTTCCTACTTGCAGAGATCTGCTGATCTTGAGAAAAAAGTGTAATCTGCTGCAGGCTTAACCCGGTTTGGGATTTTCAGTCCGGGGGGGGGGGAAAGGGGCATTTTGCGGGCGCCAGAACTGCCTGCTACAGCGGCAGGGGCCCTCGGTCCGTGATCTTCGGGTGGTGCTTTTGGAGCAGTTTCTGCACTGCCACTGGCTGCTGAGTTACCTGACAACTCTTTCCACGGAAAGTGGGTAGCGGTGAGTACCGACGCCCTGACAAGTGGAAATTTTAATTTCCAAAAGGAGCTAGGCACCAGGCCGCGCCATAATTTACCGCTGCAGCACAAGAGCTGCTTGCTTGTGGTTTCCATCTCATATTGCAGCTGTAACTCCTGCATGCCTGGCTGTGGCGATACATGAGTCCCCGCTTGCTCGACTGTTACCCTTCCTCTCATGCATTAAGAGGAGGAGAGAGCTTTCATCTTAGCCGGCAAGGGCGGAAGTGCTGGTGCCCCCTGCAACGGTGCTGTTGGAGGCCCCCGGGGTTATTTCCACGGGACAAACAGCATCACCAGGAGTAGCCTGGGAAGTGCAGGTGGCCCTTGGGGTGCTGCAGAAGTCACCGGACTCAGCAGGGCAAACAATGGGTATCAACGCAGCCACTACTCCCCCTGGAAATCTGGCGGCAATGCAGAAAAGACAACTGGTGAACTGGCAGCAAGGACCAGTGCCCATGAAGGGCCTTGGCCAAGGGGCCCCTGAGGTTCGGGCAGAGTGGTTGGCGCTTGGCTCTGTTTGTTTCTGCCCCACCAGGAAATTGAGTGTAAGTTAAATGGTTGGTCCGCTCCTGACAGCTACATACAAAGATCACTGTTGGATCAGCCCTTTCCCCACAGGGGTCAAACAGACATTTCCAGGAAACTGTCTGCAGGGCATAAAGGCAACAGCCCACCTGTCCATGGCTTCTGAACACGGAGATTTCATTCTGCTGCAAGGGCTCAGAGCTGTTGACGGCTCAGACCTTCGTGACACTGGCTTATCCCCCTTTCCAGCTGTGTAGACCGGCAGCCAAGCAATTCTCTGTAGCACCCACCAGGGGAGGACTTGTATCACCCCTTCCTGTCCTGAATGGGAAAGCAGAGGCAAATTTTGCCTATGCTAGCCAACAAGAGACTCCAGGTAGAGGGGTATGCACACGCTAGGAATCACCACTTGGCTGTTTTGTCCATCAGTGGGTTGTAGTTGAGAAACTGCCCTTGGGCGTTCACCTGCTGATTACCACAACCTGTCTCCAAGCACTGCATTTCAGGGGATCTGAAAGTTATTTCCATCAGCACTGGTGTAGCTGTGATAGCCTAAACCTCCACCAGCCATTGACTTGGAATTGGTGCTTGGGGCCACAAGCTTGTGTTTTCCCCACCTGGTAGTCCAGTGGACTGGGCTGATGTGGTGGCCAGTTGGCTACTGCCAGAATGGAGAGCGGCCACGAGCCCGCTTGATCCAGAAACTGCAGATGTTTAGGCGGCAGAAGAGGGGCTTGGAACCCAACCTTCGCTTGGCCATCAATCTTCTTGTGGATCGCTCAAAGCCACGCAGTTTGTAGAATCGATGCTGTGGTCTCTCCAGTGCGAGCGAGTGCTGATGACGAGCCCTGCCCCCCCCCCCAGCTTTTCCTCAAATTATCAACAGCATGTGAACAAAAAAAAGAGACCAGGCCCAAGTGAGAGGCTAAGAGCTGTGCTGTGATAAAGCGGAGTGCAATCTTGCGTCGACACGGGGGTTTTTTTTGTGAAAAGCAGAAATAAATAATGTAAGAGCACACGAGTTGACATGCAAAGAGGAGAAGCCGGATGAAGGCGCCAAATGAATTAGAAAGAGCAGCAGAGCAATTAAACCGAGCACCGTAAAAGGCAGGTGGGCGCAGGCAGCAGGGCGAGCATGCAGGCAGCGGGAAACGGTGGTCTGTGGCCAAAAGCAGGCGGGTGTGGGCGCGCAAGGGGAGGTTCTGCCCTGGGTCAAATGGCACCGGAGGGAGGGCTGTTCGAGCCCCTTCCGAAGCCGGCTGAGCGCTGGGGAGCCCCAACCCCAGGTGCGTGCTGGAATGCCTCTCCTCCACCACCTTCACAGGGGGCTCAAAAGGGAACCTAGGATGAAGGGGGAAAGGCTGCATGCCCCACTGTGCAAGAGGCGGGTGGGGAGGAGAGTGTGCCAGCTGTTTGGACATAAAAGTGCAAGAAGGAACGGGAGAGGCAGCTGGACCCCTGCAGAGGGGAAGCCTCGTTTTCTGGGCAAGGCCAGGATGCAGAAATGGTTCTCTCTCTTTGGGGGGGGGGGATCTCCAAATAATTGTCAGGCACGTTTTCAAACTATAAAGTGCTGATCTGTTTCTCAAGCGAGGGCTGCCAAACACGTGAAGTCAGGAGGCGGCCGACACAAAAAACGCCAGCAGGATTTTCAGCTGTGCTGCGCTGGCACCTCCTGGCTGGTGGCCAACTGGGGTTTGCCTCTCTTGGGGTGACGTGTGAATCGCCCCCTCGGCTGCATTGTCCAGCAGACAAGATGTTTTTAGCTTGCAGAGGGGCTTCCTGGAGCAATCATGTTTTTTCAGTGCTAATGGGGCCAAATGAGATCCATGATCATCTAGTTACTTGAAATAATGTATAAGCCCCCTTTTAAGGTAGCTCAAGGGTGCACTGAAAGGTCAGCGAGGGGCCGCTCACGTGCGGCATGTCGGCCTGCTGAAGGCTCCCAATGTCTAACCCCTTCCTCGTGCAGTCTTAGCACAGGAATTCTCAGGGCGGCCGGAATTAAACAATTTGGAGGTACGGCCCAATTCCCAGCTGCGACGGAAGCAGCTGTTGTGCCTCTGTGTGACTCACTGCGCTTGGTGCCTCTTACAGGGGCAATTCAGTTGCACTGCTGCACTGTGAGTGACTGATGAGCCTATCATATCCAATGCAAAAAGCTTCCTCATATTTAGGGAGAGGCAGCCAGCTGTGTCTCTGTAGGAGTCACTGATCTGGGCAGTTCCCTTCAATTCAGAAACGCACTCATGGCAGTGATTCATGCAGAAACCTGGGGAGGGGCTGTTCTAAGGGCAATCAGTTCTTTCTCCTGCACATTCTAAAAGTGACTCGGGACATAACTGTGGTTCCTTGCCTCCATTTTTAAGGGCTGCAGCCCCACCTCCGGTCTACCCAGCCATGCAGAACAGATGCTCCAGAATTGGAAAGCGCATGCGCGCCGCAGCAGGTGGGTTGCAAGTCCGGCCTCTGCAATATCTAGGCCAAGGAACTCCTGCAGCCTCTGCCTCGGAGAGCCACTGCTAGTTGAGGTGGGCCGTTCTGAGCTCGGCAGGCCAAGGGTCTGACTCCAGCGGAAGCTGCTCCCTAAGTTCAGCTCTGGGGAGGGCTGGAGGAGAGAGCGGGGCCAGCAAGGAGACGTAGCTGGGTTCGAATCTCACTGCGGCCTTAAAGGCACTAGGTGGCAAAACGCCAGTTCTTGGCCTCAGCTCCCCATCTGTAAAACAGGAATGACCATCACCCGACTCGACTCCCTTTAAGAATATGCTTGGCTAGGCAGATGCCCTGAGGAACAAGAGCTGGGATTTCGGGGCGTCTCTCTTTTGTGTTCTACAGGAGACCCCCCCCTGGAACTCTGAACACAAAGGGAAGGAGAGGGTGGGGCGGGGAAGGGGGGGGTGTTAGTGAATGCAGCGGGTAGCATGCCAGAGACTTTCGCAAGCAACGGATGGATGGCATCGAGGGATCGGGGATGGACCCTACGCTTTCATCCTGGGGAGTTTTCTTCTCTCCCCTCTCCACGGACTCTCTTCCCAGCAGGGGAGTCTACGAAATGTAGGTAGGGGTATTATTTTTTTAAAATCTGGATGTGAACTGGGTGTTGTTGTTTTTTAAAAAACCAGACCATTTGTTTCTCCTCCTGTGACAAGCTCGCCCCGAGAGTCTTGCGCCAGCAACCAGCACTTTTAGGAATCTAAAAACATAAAGAGAGAGAGAGAAAGAGAGAGAGAGAGAAGAGGCTTCGTTAGGCACCCACCAGTCGGAGCGGTTAGAGGAAGGGAGGGTTTCTGGAGGAACAAGGCTACCATGGGGGTGTAGGGGGAGGGGGGAGCCTTAAGGCAGAAATGGGATAAAGGGGGAGGGGCGGGGGCACAGCAGGTTTTCTAAGGGAAGCTTCTCATTAAGGCACCAGTGTGAGAAAATGAGGAGTCTGGAGTGTTCATTCCCACCATTTCCTCACAACAACCCTGTGAGGTAGGCCAGGCTGAGAGTTTGTGATGGGCCCAAGGCTTAACCAAAGCTCCAAGTTGCTCTTGAGAGACCCGAAGGGGAGAGGACAGTGCCCGCGGCACAGCATGAGCACAAGCACAGGAAGCTTGAAATGCATTTGGGAATTGACAGATTGTCAGGTGGCCCTGTCATAGAGTTGGAATGTGGAGGGGTGCACCTCCTCCTCCTTCCCAGCTCATCCCTGTTTCGCTTCTGGCTGCTATCTCTGGCCTGACCTTGTTATATTTTCCAGCTGCAAAATAACTGGCCTGGGAAAGTTACCGGCTTATGTGCTCGGCCGCTTGCTTGCTAGCTAGCTTCAGCCCCCGCGTGTGTGAAATATATTCATTGGTTTTGGCTTATTGAGGGGGGGGGGAGTTTGATTATACTAGAAGTCAGTGGCCATCCTACTGCAGGCCATTCCTGACACAAGATGTACACTCATTCTTTAGTTCCGGACTACCAATAAAACACATATCTCCTCAAGAAGCCTTTGTGTGTGGTGTGATCCTGCTAAGGAGCCTGACAAAGTGTCAGGAATGGCTTGCAGTATGATGGCCACTGACTTCTCTTTGTCTGGTAGACGGGTGACCACAGCAGAATGGGGGCGGGCGGGGGGGTGCACGTATCTATCGGCAGCAGACAATGCCTCCCCCATTTCTGCTCCCAGACTCTGAAGCCTGAACCTCTATGATGTTAGACTCCCCCCCCCTTTCCTTTGCCATATTTTTTCTTTCTTTCTTTGGTATTTTTGCATTGTTGCGTGTGTGTGTGCCCGTGGCCTGGAAGTCATGGTGACCTCTGGCGACTCCTACTGGGGCACGGAGGACGTTCAGAAAAGTGGCTTGATGGCCTGCCTCTGCGTCCCCGCCCTGGTATTCCTTGGAAGCCTCCCATCCAAATATACTTGCCAGGGTCGGCCCTGCTTAGCTTCCGAGAGCTGACGAGATTGGGCTTGCCTGGGCTGTCCAGGTCAGTAACATTTCTAGAGCAACATTAATGCTTAGGCCTGCACTGATCTTTCTTCCTGCCCCTCCCCCCTCGGGACGGTAACTATTCCTGTGAGCCCAAGACAGGGGAGCAGTGAGATACTCCAAATAAAACTGGAGAATTACCAGAGTCAATAATCCCCTCTGGTGATAGCCACGGGCAGCCAAGACTCACGCACCCCTCGTTTTCCTCCGCCTCTTCTGTACCGCAAGTGATTCTGCAGCTGAACCACCACCCAACTACCTTTCTACAGAAGCCCTTGAGAAGTCGCTGTGGCTCTCCAGTGGTCATGCAGTCACAGGATTCAGCAACTATGGGAGGATAAATCAACTGCTTTTGTGGCCGGGTACTTAAAGAAAACCCCACAAGCTTGAGAAAATAAAACTTTTGGGTTTTTTATTATGGGCAGGGAAACAGCAGTACAGCTAAGAGGAGAAATACAACAGAACTCTTTTTTTTTTTTTTACGGAACTCAAAATGGTTCTAGCTTTTGACAAACCTCCAGCAATGAATGCAGAATTTCCTATAAAGTCGATTCTGAAGCAGGAAAGTGAGAAATGCATAGGGAAAAAACATAAAAGAATTTAAATGACAAAACCAGAGCTTGTGCACGACTTGGTAGGTTAAACAAAACAAAAGATTCAGTTAGCAAGAAAAGACAAAAACAGATCAATACAATAATGATATCAAAAAGCCCCTCCCATTCAAAACAAGGGAAACAATTGAAAATCCATCTTTTAAGTTTTAAGTTAAATTATGTACAAATAATTTTCCTTTCCAGAAAGAAAACTACGGATAACCTATTTAACGGAGATTTTTTTTTCCTTTTAAATAATTGCCATCAAGAGATTATAAACAATACCTTTTTTTAAAAAAAAAAGGAAAGAAGTTTGGCAAATGTTAAAATGATCACATTGTTGATCCTTGACTGAAAAGTGCATCGGTGAGGTTTCTGATCCGGAGAAAGACTCACTTGGCCTGCAAGCCAAAATCATGGGGGTGGGGGGGAGAGGGGTTTAATTTACATTCTGAGGAGGGAGGGAGCAGCAGGGGTGCCTGCAGGAACCACATCTCCATCATTAGTCTTCAAGCGCCACAGCTTTGAGGAGAAGAAACATGGGCCATCTTTGCAAACGCCCGTTCCAAAATCCCTCTCTGTCTCGCAAGGTGAATGGGGGAGGGTATCACTTATAGGGGAGAATTGCCAAGTGGGACGAAAGGTGCCCTCTCACCCCCGCCCCACATTCCTATTTCCTGTCTCTGAGTGCAGCTCAAGGGGAACCAGCCATGGGGGTAGAGTGTGGGGTGGGGAAGGGTTAAGCATCTCCCTCCAGTCCAGTGATTGTCTCCCTATGAATCCCTCCCTCCCACCCACCCCCACACACTGAGTATTCCAAGGCAAACGTGGGGTTGGGGAGCCTGACTTGGCCTCCTAAGGCTGCTCTAAAGTCCCGTAGCCAGGGTTTTGTAATTCAGGGGGGCCTTGAGATAAGTCAGGAGCACTGGTGTCACAAAATAAAAAACAAAATAAAAAATTTTAAAACTCACTTTTGCAGCATCCACACTCTGCCTGCCTAAGTGGGGAGGCAAGTCGCGCTTGGGGAAGGGGTGGTGGTGGAGAGTCCTCCAGGCGGCCCAGAGAGTCGGGAGTCCTCCGGGCGGCTCAAAGAGCCAGGGGCCTGGGTGCTGGACGGAAGTTGGGGGGCCAGGCCCCGAAATGCCCCAATGTAGCTACGGGCCCGCTCTACATAGTTCTGCACAGACCACACGTTTTCTTCTACTAGGAGAACGCCAAAGATGGTATTTTGGGGAAGAGGAGGGGGGAAAGGTCTTCCAAAGGAGGGAGGGGTTTTGAACATAGATCTAAATCTGTCAGGCATTCAGTCTCAGCATCCCAAGCAAGGGGCTCTAAGCGGAGGGGCCTCGTTGGGCTTGGCAGGTCAGTCACAGGCAGGGAAGTTTGAGGGAAAGTTGCTCCCCCCCCACTTTAGGCCACAGACACGTGTGGGCTGTTAAAAATGTGGACTAGCACCTTTTTGTTGGCTTTGACTGCCGGGGGGGGGTTTTTGACCCTTGCAAGCAAAATGGCCACAGGACAGTCTTCCCTCCCGAGCTGAAGCCCCAAAGCCTGAGAGGCAGGTTCTGGGTTCTCAGCTTACCCACACCTTCCTCAACGAGATGATCTCAGAGAGCCACGGTTGGGGGGTCGGGACCCAATTGGTCTGAACAAGGACCCGTGACTGATGCAGCTTGGCTCAATAGCATGAGCTTCCCTAAGCCACGTGCTGATGGCGTGCTGGGGACTGTACTGCACAGGCCGTCCTGCTGCATGGTGCCAAGGGAGTGGGGGGACGGGGACGCACAGTCCACGGGGGGCTCCTTTCTGATTCTGACCAGGCTAGGAGATTCCAGTGGACGCTCGCTGCCTGCTTGCTGGCACAAGTGGAGCCCGGTTGCGCCTGAAGCTGAGATCCTCCCTACGGAAATCCTGACCCGTTCTACTGGCAGAGGTTCTTTCTTCTGGCAGAAGGAGTCTAACCCCAGTACAGGATGCACTCTTGCTCAAGTACATCCGCTAGCTGAGTGAATTTCCAGGATCCAACCCATTAACAAGGCGGGGAGGAGCCACAACTCGAAACGTCAAGAGGCTCCCTGAAAGGGGAGATGGGTGGGTGGGAGGAACCATTAACTCCCCATCCCTCCCCTTCTCTTCCCCAGCCTCTGAACAAACCACTAGGATGAAAGGGGGAAAAGATCATGTGAGCGGCAGCTAAAGGCCGCGTCACACATGTTGGACAATGGACTTTCAAGGCACTTTAGCAACTGTTGGCAGCTGGATTTTCTTGTGTGAAACAAGAAACTCCAGCCCCAAACTACTGTTGAGAAGAAGAAGAGATTGGATTTATACCCCGCCCTTCACTACCCAAAGGTGTCTCAGAGCGGCTTACAAACTCCTTTCCCTTTCCCTCCCCACAACAGACACCATGTGAGGTGGGTGGGGCGGAGAGAGCTCTTGACAGAAATGGCTCTTTTTCAAGGTCAGCTCTTATCAGAACTATGGCTTGCCCAAGGTCATCCAGCAGGTGCAAGTGGAGGAGTGGGGAATCAAACCTGGTTCTCCCAGATTAGAGTCCACTCACTTAGCCACTGCACCAAACTGGTGTAGAGACTGGATTTATACCCTGCCCTTGACTACCCAAGGGAGTCTCAGAGCGGCTTACAAACTCTTTTCCCTTCCCCTCCCCACAACAGACACCCAATGAGGTAGGTGGGGCTGAGAGAGCTCTTGACAGAAACTGCTCTTTTTCAAGAACAGCTCTTATCAGAACTTGTGACTGACCCAAGGTCACACCAGCAGGTGCAAGTGGAGGAGTAGGGAATCAAACCCAGTTCTCCCAGTCCGCGCACTTAACCACTACACCAAACTGAACGTGCGTTGTCCAACATGTGTGAAAAGCAGACTATGTCACCTCCAGTCATAGGTCTTCCCTAGAAAAAGTAGGCTGTGGAGCCAAAAAAAAGAAAAGGATCAGCAGAGGCAGATGAGGAGAACTGGGGGTGCCTACGTCCTCCGGGACGGCCTGCCTCCGCCCGGGGAGGGAAAACAAACAAAGGGAACATTGCCAGAGAGATGCGAAATGATCTTTGTATTTTCTGCCTTGCAGTTGCTAAGATCACAGAAAGTAAGCTGGGCTTGGTTCCAAAAAACGTATACGTCTGTGCACGTGTGTGTACGCACGCAGACACACACACACACACATAAAATTTTGCATGAAGAGGGACTGAATTTATGCAACCTGCATGGAGCTTCAAAGCGACACACAGCTGTCTTCTCAGAGGGGGAGGGGTTTTGTGGGGAAGACGAGGATGCTTCTAAGGGTCAGTCCCCGAGCTGTTCTGACATCAGGCAAGGATGGAGAGACAGAAGGTCCTCCGGCTGCCATCGGCTGGCTTGCTCTGATCCAACGGCAGGGCCGGGCCGGGCAGGCAGAAAGCTCTGGGCCAGGAGAGGAAGACACAGCAAGGGCCTGGGAGAGGGACGTGGGGGGGTGGGGGGAGAAGGAGAGGGCCAGGGGGAGGAAGAGACAAAGCAGCCACCAAAGAGAAGGGAAATCCGGAGATGAGGAGCTGGAAGGCGGGCAGGACGGGAGGGGGCTCCAGGACCCCTGGCTCGGTGTTGAAATGCCTTTGGCTGCAGGCCTCTAAGCTGAATGACACTGTCAAACTTTGCAAATCTGCCTTTTCTCTGTGCTCATCGGGCAGAGGCTGCCCTGTGTTTAACCAAAAGGGAGAGAGCCTAATTTTCTTCCAACGAAATTAACTTTGGTAAGATTAGCACCAGCACTGTGCATTACTAGCTACAGGAGGAAAAGGGGAGGGGAAAAGAAAAGTGCTCTCCGTGGGTCAGGCAGGGCTTGAGCTTGGATCCAAAGACCAGGTTTCGGGGGAATGGGCGACTGCAGTGGAGAACAGAGCTCGCCCACCTCTTCCCCGGGGAGAATTGCCGCCCTACGCAAGTGCCGGCCAGGGAGGGGGAGTGCCACAGAGGCAGAGCCAAACGAGGAATTCCACATTACTCTTTTTAACCCGTTTTGAAGCCGTTTTTGATTTGTCGTGGAGTAAATAGGGCTGCCATTTCACACATGGCTTTCCCCTTCCAGTAAAGAGCTGGATGTGAAGCAGTTTGCCATTTCAGACTGCACCGGTTTCCCCCCGCCCGCGTGGGGGATCTCCGGCTTTTTTTTTTTAACGTTCACTTTAGAGCACTATAGCGCTATAACACAACACTCCAGGCATTTCAATGGGGTTGATATAATGTGTTATAGCATTATACTGTTATAGCGCTATAGCGCTGTAAAGCAAACGTTAAAAAAAAAAAAAACCGGAGATTACCCACACGGGTGAAAAACAGCGGGGAAAAGAGCATCGGAACTGGGAGAGGAAACTGAAGACTACTTGGAAGCGGTTGACAGGTAAAACGCTTCAGCCCTGTTTCCTAAACGGGACAGAAGCGTTTGTGTGTGAAATTACAAATATATTCTGGTAGGGAACCGGTTCTAAAACGGTTCTGTCTGAAATGACAGACCAGAAACTGTTTGGGAACCGTTCCTCTTCCGGATTATATTGTCTGTCTGAAATTCCTCAACGTCTCGGGTGCAGGATTGGACACGCAGTCAGAAGTACGTCAGGGGACGTCACTTTAAAAAGCGTTCATTCACTTGGCACTGTGAAGGGGGAGGAGTTTCCAGGTTCCCTCCCTCCCTCGGGCACATGGAGCCGGAGAAACAGGGCAAAAAGTCCATCTTCCCTTTCCACTGGTGAAAGTGAACCGGGAGGGAAACGAGAAATTCTTTCTCTCCCCTCGCAGTACAGCATAAATGAGTGCTTTTTAAGGTGAAACACCCCCCCCCGGGTTGTACATCTAAACATGAGTCCAGTTGCACACCCATGCATCAGGCATATTGTTTAGTTATGCCCACAGACAGCGGGACAGGCAGGGGAATTCCCAACAAGGTGACGTCACCTGGTGAAAAAAACGTGAAAGCGGCAGGAGTCTGGAGAAAGCTCGGGAGACATTATACCCTCCTCCTCCTCCTCTCCAAAAAGCCCCCCCTCCTTGAACCAAAAGCATCTTCCGAATATTCAGTCCAGCTCTACTGCCATCTAGGACACTTTCCCACATTGACTTGTCTGTGGAGGGACCCCTGAACACCTGCCATGGGCACATCTCTGCACTGCAAAGGATCCTCCCCAAGACGAGTTCCCAGGCCCACAAAGACCCCGGCTGCTAGTGCCTCACTGTTGCCCCGCCCCAACTGAGAAGCTCACCTAGAGCACCCCCGATTGCCCTCTGTGGACGGCAAGGGAAGACCAGCGCCCTGGGGGCCCCAGCACCTTCCAGAGCAGCTTACCCACCCACCCTCCACGGCTGCCTCACTGAGGAGCCACCGATGGGTCTCAGACTTCCCTTGGGAACACCAGAAAGTCCCCACATGACGGCTTCTCCAACATGGAGAAAAACGAAAGGTCCATCAAAATCCCAACACTGTCAGGACGAACAGCTCGAGGCGGCCACAACACGCTTCGAACACTTCCTTGAGGAAACTTTGCAAACCAGAAGTCACTGGCAAAAGGAGCTTTGTAAGAGTTCTGGCGCTGTGCGTGGCAAGATGAGCAGTCCTTCCAAAGGAAAGAGTTGGCCCCAGATGGTTGCGCAGATGTCCCAAGATGGTGTTTTTCAGAAGACGGGACAGAGGCGGCACGTGGCCGTGCTCTGCGTGAGTTAGGCAAGTACCTGCCCTCACAGATGCTGCTGGCCACACAAGAAGGGTCAGTCTGAGCTGCACCCCTCTGTCTCGCCTCTGCACCCAGCTTCTGAAATTCCCCCTTCTTGTTTTCAAAGGGCATCTATAAGGGCTGGAGACTTGTGCTTGGGGAAAAAATGAAAATTGAGATTCTGAGGGTGCTGAATTCCGACCTGGAAACCAAATACTGCACTGCGAAGGCTGTGTGACCCAGAACCAGAAAGCCAAGGCTTACCTAAGCCTCCTGATTGTTTCACAGTTCCCCGACCCCTGCAGGATCTAAGTCTGCTCCCTGACTGTGGCTAAGATGATGCCGTGGGGAAAGAAATACCCCACCTTCCTACCTACAGGAAGCACAAGGGGGGAAATATTCATTAAAACTCGCCTCCTGTTCTGCGTTTCAAGTGATGCAAAGATGCAGACAGACAAACAGCAGACTGAGTCTCTCTTTCTCTCCCCCCCCCCCCCCCCATTGCTATTCTCCGTCACCTCTTTGATGCCCCCAGCTGACCAAGCTTTTCGGGCACTTAAAAAGAAACAGGAAACTGCCGCATTAAGGATGGGAGGAAACGCCCTTCCTGGGACTTGGCAAAGTCCTTCCCAAATGGCGTCATCCGCAAGGCAGAGAAAAGTCTCCGGAGCACCTCCCTGCGGAGGCAAGGAAGCACCAGGGAAAGGGTGTGTGTTGGGAGTGGGGGTGTTAAATGTAAGTCATAGCACCTTTGGCATTCTTCTCCAAAAAGACTTCTACATAGGAGGTGGGGACGTAGCCTTCCTCGTCCTCGTTCCGCCGGATCCGCGTCCAGCCGTCGCCTTTGTCCTCCTCTATTACGAATAGCATTTCTCCTTCGGTGACGGAGATCGTTCCCTCGTTCTGGCCTGGGAGACAGAAGAGAGAATGGGCCACCAGCTTTCCACGTTGGCGTCAGGGGCGTGCTTGCTGAGAAATCTGCCCCGCGTGCGTGAGAGAGGACGCAGGGGCATTTTTGCAGGGGTACACTTAGCCCGCGTGGGGTTGTGGGCCTTGTTCTTCCTCTGTGTGAGCCAAGGGCTGGGCCAGTTCTCTGGCTAAGACATCCAGGCAACTGCTCATGGCGAGACAATGAGAAAGCCATCGTTGCCCCACATCACTCAAATGGGCCCCCAAAGTCACCAGCTTTCACTGCCACAGGAGGTGGTGGTGGCTACAAGCATGGACGGTTTCCAGAGGGAACTGGATAAACATATGGAGCAGAGGTCCATCAGGGGCTATTAGCCACAAGGTAGAGATAGGAACTCTCAGGCTGGGGCAGGTGATGCTCTGTGTTCTTGGTGCTTGGGGTGGTGGGGGGCAACCATGGGAGAGCTTCCAGTGTCCTGGCCCCACTGCTGGACCTCCTGATGGCACCTGGTATTTTTGGCCACTGTGTGACAGAGTGTTGGACTGGATGGCCCTTTGGCCTGATCCAACACTGGCTTCTCTTATGGCCTGGTCCGGGAAAGGAGTTTGTGAGCCACTCTGAGACTCCTCCGGGTAGTGAAGGCTGAGGTATAAATCCAATCTTTTCTCTTCTTCTTCTAGGTTAGGCTGAGAGAGTGTGACTGGCCCAAGGTCACCCAGCAAGCTTCCATGCCAGACTGGGGATTCGAACCCGGGTCTCCCAAACCCCAGTCCAACACTCTAAGCGCTAAACCATGCTGGTTGAGATTTCCACAAGCCATTTCCTGCCTCAGCCCTCTAAACTAGCTTTTCACAAAGTCGAAACGTGGGTTACCTTCAAAGGTGTACAGAGCTTTGCACGTCCCAATGGTGGGCAGCGGCTCTTCGTCATCGAACTCGTCGTCGAAGTCCGTGGGCGGGGCCTTCATCTCACTCTCCTGGCTCGGCTCCTCTGTGTAACTGCCATCTGGGCTGCTCAAGACAGGAAAGAACACGACATCTATAGCGACAGGCCTTGTGGGCCGAGGGGGGGAGGCGGGACGCTGGAGGACACACCTCTGTGGTCAGCCCCCCCGTGCGGTGGCCCTCCTCACTGCCCCCCCCCAGATAACAAGCAGGGCTCCCACACCAGCAATACGAGGCTCTGGGAATCGTTTCCGGTTGTGAAAGTGATCCTGGAGGGGAGTAAGCCAAAGAGAACCTTCCCCCCTCCCCGTAAGCTGTACTACCAAAGGAGAGAGAAAAATAGGGCTACCCCAGGCAACCTCCACATTCGGAGACACCAATCCTCTAATCCTCTGAATCCCAGAGCCCAGAGGCAACAGCAGGGGAAGGCCTCGGTCTCTCTGCCCTGTTGCTGGCCCTCCAGAGGAACTGGCTGGCCACTGTGCGGTTCTTAATGTGCCAGCAAACCAAAAACAGGGAAAAAGAGGCTAGGGGGGGCACCTTCACTGTTCTACGAAGCCCCTGCATGTTTCACCATGAAAGCTTTGTCAGGGAGATCAGAGAGTTCACTTTGTACTGAACCTGTTCTATTACCTTTTCCCTTTTTGGTGAGCTGAACGACAAAGGATTTGAGGAGAGTCTTCCAAGAGAAAAAGACAGACTGGCCTAGAGTCAAGGACTCACAGGGATGAAATGAGGACTAGATCCTTGATGTTTACATGGAATCGATTCATTAACGAAAATGCTCGCGCCCTGCTTTCCCCACCTATTATGTGTTTTTGTTTAATTGTGTATATATTTTATATATGGCTTGAGCGCATCAGGGCTCGGAACCACTCTTAGGGGGAGGAACACAGAGCAGGAGCCAGTCCAAGAAACGTGACTGACACACGGAATGTGCGGGTGCAAAGCGGCGCCAAGTCTCAGCTGACGTAGGGCCACCCCATAGGTTTTTCGGGGCAAGAGACGCGGAGAGGTGGCTTGCCATCGCCTGCCTCTGTGTAGAAACCCTGAACTTCCTGGGTGGCCTCACATGACCAAGGACTGCCACGGCTGGCCCTGCTTACCTTCCAAGGTCTCACGAGAGCCAGCCCGCCTGGGCTAGGTCAGGGCAGGCACGGATGAAGAAGAGAAGAGAGAAGCCAATGCTGGATCAGGCCAGTGGCCCCTCCAGTCCAACACGCCGTGTCACACAGTGGCCAAAGATACCAGGTGCCATCAGGAGGTCCACCAGTGGGGCCAGGGCGCTAGACAGGGCACTGTTGTTGTCCCCCCCCCCAAGCATGACTGGCCCCAGACCAAGAGTTCCTATCTATACCTTGTGGCGAATAGCCACTGATGGACCTCTGCTCCATATCTATATATCTAATAGCCAAGGCGCCCCCTCCATGCGGATATCTAAATCTGCACATCGGGGGCACTTGGGGGGCAGGGAGGCTTTCCTGCACACTTGGAGCAGTCTCCAGGTGTGCAGAGAAATCTAAAAAGTTGAAAAAAATATACAGGGAATACTTAAATCCCCCCAAAAGTAAAAGAGCATTCCCTGCGCATGCGCAGAGAACGCTCTGGCTGTTGGGGGGGGGAGGCTTGGTGGGCCTGTGCGGCTCACCGCCAGGGCGAGGAAGGTGGAGAAGAAGGACTGGCGGGCCAGGCGGCTGGGAGCCATGTGGGCCTCGCTGTCGGTGCGGGGGGGTTGGGGGGAGAAGGATTGGCGGGCCTGGGCACCACCCTCTGAAGAGAAGGCCTGACCTCTACGTCATGACTTCACTGCCATGGCGACCTGAGTAGGCATAACATTCCCTGTGTGGCTGACTGGAGCAGGAGAAGATGACGGGTCTCTTTCTTTCTATCTCCCGGACTGGTTTTCTCGTCCCAAAAACGAGGGAGGGTTTCTGGAGTTAGTTTTGGGGTTTGTTTTTTTGTTTTGTTTTGTTTTTTTCACAGTGGCCGTCTCGGAAGGAAGAGATTGGAGGGAGGGGGAAAGTTAATCTGATCGGAGCGGGATGGGATGGGACGGAGCCCAGCGAGCGGAAACATTTCCCCTGGTTTCTGAGTGACCCAGGGCTTTTCTGGGGTTGCTGTTGGGGGTTTTTTGGATTTTTTTTTACACAGTAATCGTCTGTATTTTCACAGAAGAGATTGTCTGTATTTTCCCTTTCCCTCCCTTCCCCCCCCCCTTTGCAATAGAGAGACTCTGGCTAGGTGGAGGCTGGGGGAGGGGAGAAATGTTCACTTTGACTCCTAATTATGAGTGGAGCTCATAACATATGGGGAGCTACAAACGGCAGG